GGGAGTCGTCTTCAACCTCCAGACTTCGCGTTTTCTTCTGCGGACCTAGAACGGACGGTCTGACCTCAGACCGGACGTTCTGGTCCTCGGATTCTCACCAAAACACACCAACACGCACGATTCACTATGGGTATTACACTAAAACTCATAGAATTGCAATTAGAACACAAATCAATCATCAATTTTACACGAAATCACCCAAAACCCAAAACCCCATGTCTAATAGACCTCCGAATTAAACTCGAATTCACTCACCTCGGTTAAGCCCGTGCTATGGGTGTTGAATGGAAAGCTTGGTGATGTTTCTCTTGCTCTGTAGGAACTGATTTGAGCGTCAATTGTTCGGATTTGAGAGAGAATTTTCGCTCAGAAATGAAGAACATGAGAGGGAGAGAGAAAATGGCGATTTGGTTCGGATTAGGCCAAATTATGACACGAATGGGGACTAAATCATGCACAAAGTCAAAAAGTCGGGATTTCCTGGTCGAATTAGTGCATTGGGGTCGCTTTCAAGTTGGTCCGGACGGAAGTCGTCGTTTTGGTCGTTGCCGACACTCTGGTCCGTCCGTTCTACGGTCTGGAACGGACGGTCTGGTCTGTGTGAGCGGTCCGTCCGTTCTGGGTCGTCCAGAACGGACGTTCTCAGTTTTTTTTTTTTTTTTTTTTTTTTTGAAAACTGGGTTGTTACATATACCATAATTTGTTTTGACGTAAAAACAATAAAATAAAATATTTTAAATAAATTTTATTATTTTCAAATGTTCATATAACATAAAATTTTAAAATAAGAAAATAATAATGAAATAAATTGAAAATAATAAAACAATAATTAAATTAGAATATATATATATATATATATCAATTTGTTATATAGCATAGTTATAAAACAATATCACTATACTATTTTTTCTAATTAGATTTAATATCTATTATATATTAATTATTAATATATAGGTAGATAAACGGTTATATTCGGTATGGTTAATTCATATTCGGTTTTTTCGAGTTCGATTATTTCGGATTTTAAAAAATCATAATCAAACAATTATTTAATTTTATACGATCCGATTCAATTCGGATATATATAGATCGATTCGGTTAATAACCGAAATATCCGAACCGAATGTCCATCCCTAGTGTCATCTATTTGCCAAAAGTTAACAGGAATCTAGTTCCGGATGTCTGTGCTCATTGTTAGGGATAAACATCTATTAGAGACTATAAGAAAATATTTCCTCTGAAGAATAGTCCCAGACAAGGATCAATTAGTGGAGGATTTTCATGCATATTTTAAGGCTATACATAGGATAGCTAAAGATAGGTTTATTATTTCCGTCGGTAAACTTTGTCCCCGAGAATCTAGATCGCTTCTGAGAACTTGTCTATCCGATGTTTCATGCAAGAACTTGTTAAATCCCTTCAGGTGAAAACCCTAATCATCAACCCCAAAAGCTGAACAGATAGAATATGAAATAAGTTCTTTTATGCCACCATGGCCAAAAACTGAAACTGCATTTGCTCCTGTAATTGCCAGAATTCGCCCTTCATCTTGACCCATTTCAATGTGGATGTCACAAATCTCCGAGGAGTAAGCAGTTTGCAGAAGGCCCTTTGTTTTCAGAAAGGGTGTTGGTGAAATCGTTCCAGAAACACGTTAATGGAGTTTGTGGATTCACATTCTTCATCAGTAAGAGCTTGATATACACTCGAAATTTCATGAACCCTAAATTGACAAAGCATTGTTTCAAACATGGCAACATGGAGAGTTCCACATGAGAGAAGAGAATCAAGATCTAGGCTTTTTCCATAATTGGTACCGGCGTCTTGGGAGACTTCATCGAACTTGGCAACTCTTAATTGCGTGTCCATAAAATAAAACCTAGAATCGGGCTGCCGGATCCGGTTAATTAACCGGGTCGGATCAGGATCGAGTTTAACTTGGTCATTTCTGGATTCCTCGGGTTTGGGCTTTGCTATTTTTTTTTCATGGTCTTTTAATATAAACTACTAAGGAGTCGTAAACCACCGAAGTCTCACCGTTTTGTCTTATTCCGGCGGCTGTGTGGGCGAGAGAGAGAGAGAGGGGGAATGGCGATCAGGAAGCTTTTGCTTCTATTGAAACCGTTGGATCCGTATCCGTTTCTTCCACCGGAAGGTGTCTCGCGCATCAAGAACCCCCAGGTATTACATTACCGATTTCCTCATCTGGACTGCGTAAAATTTCTGCATGATTTCATGTGTGTTCGATTTCGTTTAGAAGTTGTTCGATGAAATGCCGCAGTCGCTGGCACCTGAAACCCAACTGTTTTACGTGGGGCAGAACACATTTTGTGTTTGTCTCATTCCATCTGTGTGTTTGTGTATCTTCGTGTTCTTGAGAAATCGAGAATATATTAGCAAGTGTTATGGGTTTAATGATTGTGGGCTCAAGGTTCTGAGCAAAATTTGGGAGATTTTATGTTTGAATGATATGCATATTTTGGTTTCTCACCCTTGGCCTTTGCACGAGGTTTGTGTGGTTTTATGTTGTTTCTTGGTCTCCGTTTGGAAATTTGGATATGTAGACACTTCCTATGGGTTGTGATGTTTTGTTCGCATTTGCCAACTCAGTTTATTTTGGCTAAGTGACAGGTCCTTAGATATCTTGAGAGTCGGTGCACTGTCCACAAAGACGCTATAAATTTTTGCCAGGAGATACTACATAAGAAACCGGTTGAATGGAGACCCATATCACGTAGTGATTTATTGCATCCCATTCATGACGTCGATATGGTCATTACTGTTGGCGGGGATGGCACCCTCTTGCAGGCCAGCCATTTAATCGATGACTCGGTTCCTGTCCTAGGTGTGAATTCTGACCCAACACGAACAGAAGAGGTTAAAGCTGTCTCTTGCCTTTCCTCATCCCATACATTTCCTGATATTGATTAACTACTATAAAGAACGCTGGGCTGAAATGAGTTAGTGTTTGATGGCAACTGCAGGTTGAAGCATTGAGCGATCAGTTTGATGCTAGTAGAAGCACCGGCCACTTGTGTGCTGCTACAGTTGAAAACTTTGAACAGGTAACAAGAAAAAGGGACCCATTAATCAGTAACCTGATTATGTTCCCATTACTCCTTAGTTTGGCCTCATTGTTAGTACAGATTCATAAGATTCCATGACTGTACCTTTCTTGGCTCGATTCCTTTTCGTGTTTGCAGTAAACCGATATGACCAAGCTGTCCATTGCTTACAGGTTCTGGATGACATTTTGTTTGGTAAAAGGGTTCCTTCAAAAGTGTCCAGAATAGCGGTGAAGTTAAATTCAAAACCGCTTACAACACAGGCACTCAATGACGTTTTGATTGCACACCCGTGTCCTGCCACTGCTTCAAGGTTCTCATTCAAGTAAGAGCTCCTCGTCCTCTAAATTATCCTCGTCCTCTAAATTATCATATGCATGATGTAATCAGCGCATATTTGATATAAAAATTTATACCATATATAGTCTCTTTTTAACTTTTTCCTTACCATTTGCTCAAACCGCTGTCTTCATTTGCCCTGTTAATGCACAAAAATGAAATATTGTTCACATTTGTTAGCTTGAATCATCAACTGACAGAAAAACAGAAACCAGGGACTAGAAAAAGGTTCAAAGCATCGTGTTTTGAACTCACACGATCTGCATTTTATTCATGTGGGGTAGGATTAATAGCAAAGACGATGGTGAGTCATGCTCGAAAACAGTGAGCTCCCGCTCGAGCGGTCTAAGAATCTGCACTGCTGCCGGCTCCACAGCGGCAATGCACTCAGCAGGTGGGTCAGTGATGCCAATTTCGTCTCGTGATCTTCAGTACATGGTAAGAGAACCCATCTCACCCGGTTCATCCCCTGGTCTAATGCACGGGTTCGTCAGACCGGATCAGTCCATGGACGTGAACTGGTTCTCCAACCGCGGCTCGATCTATATCGACGGTTGTCATGTTCGCTACACTATGCAGCTCGGAGATACGATCGAAATATCATCAGATGCCCCAGTCTTGAACGTGTTCTTACCTCCTCACGCCTTGACCAGGAACATATCAAAGGTAATATAGTAGAGCTCGAGATTTTGTTCATTTTTCGTGAGCATAGAAGATGGTATAATCTGGGATCTATCCACTTGTGTGTGTGTGTATGTACATACATCAAAGATACTTTGGTCAAGATTCAGGTTTCATGTGAAACGCGATTGTTTGGTGTCCGAAATGTATTGAATCTAAGGCACATGAGAAATCGGCGTGTCGAGCCGCTGATTTGGGGCCCAAAAATAAATAAAACCCAAATTCCAATAGCACTACGTTACAAAGAGTAATCGCCGATATTTGAATCCCGCGTAATACGACCCAATCTATGGTAATGGCAATATCGTAAATACCGAAACGCCAACATTGCATCCGAAACAACGCAGAAGTACGTTACTTATCGCATCTTCTCTCTCTACGTATATATTACATATACTAATGTGCTGATATGAATATGATATGTAACGGTTGATTGATTAATAAACCAAGCGATATTGTCAATTTCAGTTCTTGTCTTCTTGCATTTAGAATTTTCATATCTTCGTTTTGTTCATGATTAAAAACAAAAACTTCCCGTACGTGAGAATCATAATCATTGATAAACTTCTTTTGATAAAGAAATCATTATTTTTACGTAGATGGGCCTGGCCCAAACCCATTTTAGTTGCCACGTGTCAACAGACCTATCAAGGATCTTGTTTGGTTTTGGGTACTGTTCGGTTCGGTTATGGCGTTTGATTTGATACGTAATTTCATTTTGTTAGATTTAGAATTATATAGTCAGTTTCAATCTGATTTTATCATTTTAATTATGTCATTATTATGAAATTAAAACTAAATCAACTATATTTTAATTTGAAATGTAATCGGTTCGGATTGTCCTGGTTTGGTTAACCGAACAGAACCGAACTGCGTATCCCCTACTTACATTTCACCACGAGAATGGCGGGAAAGCCAGCCATTGACGAGAGCACCGTCCCAAATCTGCGAGAGGAAGAGGCGGGAGAAGATGTCCGAAACCGAAACCCTAGCTATCCTCGACGAGATCGAGTCTCTTGTCTCCGATCATCTTCAAGTGGTAATCGCCGGTGTTTGAATTTCCTATCTCCACCCGTCGATTTCTCTGGTTAGGGTTTTGGTTTTAGTTTCAGTGATTTTTTTGTTTGTTCCGATAACTCGTTGTCTAGCTAGTTAGGTTCTAATCAGACGAGGGTTTGGTCTTTGACTCCGAAAGGAACGAAGCTGTTGTTAACTACCCTCAGGATCAGTCTTAGGGCATACATACTTCTTTGTGTTTTTCTTGTGTTGCATTTCCAGGATGTTTCTTGTTCAATTCGGTCTGAATTTTACCATTCTGATCGAAATGTGTTCAGTTTTACTTGATTTCTTGTCTATTTTGGTGTTTATTGAGATTCGTCTTCGCAAAAGTTTTAATCTTTTGGGAGCTGAATAATGCTAACTTCACTTGCAGCGATCCAATCCTAAAAAAATGTATTTTTTCCTCTCTTTTTAATGTTCCTGATCGGTCTCGGGTTCACTTCATACCACCCATTGAAAACAAAATCAGATACACATCATATCTTTGTGTTCGAAGGCTTGATCTGTAGCATTGAACAATTCTGGCTGTAAACTAATCGCTGCTTCTCCGTTTTCAGGTATCCTACAAATGGCTGAGTCGAAACTTCTTGGTTTCATCAAATTCTGCAAAGAGGTAAAACGGTTGCCTCTCGAAGTTATTGAGATGTTGGGTATGTGTAATTCTGCTTTAATCCGAACTCGCAGATTGTAACTTGTGTGTGCTTAGGCTGCTTAAAGAGTTCGCTGAGAAACGCGGGAATGGATTGGAAGTTATATACACTTTATCTGGGTGGCTAAAGAATAGTCCTTCAGATTATCACATAAGGCTTGTATCCAGCTCTAAACTTTCAGGTCAGTTTCTTCGCTTTGACTTTGAATCAATCTTTTCTTTCGTACAGTTGGTGTTGCCAGTTTAACTTTATAGTTGGAAAATATAGGAGGAACTTGCTGCTTACTCTCTCTAGTTCAGAATACTATCGTATTATGCAATGTCTGCTTTGCTATCAAAGTTTCACTCTTTCAGATGAATTTATGTAAGCCCATGTTGTGTCTCAGTTTTCATTATCTTGGCTTTTATGCAGAAGCGGAGAAAGATTTCAATGGAAAATACTCAGTTCAGGTCTACAGTGTTCAAGCAAGTGTCCCAACAGATCCAGCAGCACTGTGGAATGCTGAGTTTGTGCAAACAGAGGAGCTCTTCAAGCAGCCTTCTGAAGTTGATAATTGCTTGAGAAATAATAGGTATGTTTTTTGTGTGTTTTTTGGCATGAAAGCTGTAACTGTTATCACGTAATGTTGCTAATTACCATTGAAATGGCCTTGTTGCCAGATTCTGTGGCGTTTCCAATTCATTTGTAAAGCGTAATGTGGAGGGCACTGTTGTGAATGCTTGTGCACCACAAACCAAAACTGTGGCAGCGCCATTAAAGCAAGAGAAGAAATTTCAACAGCCAAGCCCCAAGGTTGGTGTTCAATTGCCTCCAGTTCAAGACCAGTCCTTGAAATCCTCCTCAGACAAAGAAAAAGTCCCTTCTGTGCCTCTTAATAAGGAGGGACATGATCAAAAGAGCTCGTCTGGAACTGGGAGTTCGTTGACGAACTTGTGGGGCCGTGCATCTTCAAAATCCAAAAATGACTCTACAATGGCAGATGACAAAAATGGTATTTCAGATCGTTCAGGTTTGTCTTTCTTCTAATTCTTCCACTCCGATTAGGTTAGCACCACCTATTCCCTTCTTAGATGCTATTTGATGGCCTTTTTGGTTAATTTTCCCATTCTATGAATGTCTGTAGTTGGTGCAGAGGCCCAGATAGCTACCCATGATGCCATTGATGACGACGTCAATGATGACAAAACTCAAGATGTCAAATTCAGGAGAGCATCAAAACAAGATCATAGGAAAAGGAAGGTAATATTTGACCTCTCAGATGAAGAGTATGAAGATGCAGTCAGCTTAGCGTCTCCTGGGGTTCCAAAGGCAAAATCATATGCAGATGGCAAACAAAGTCCCAGAGATTCAAGCGCTGTCGAGATGGAAATTGATGAACCAAAGGTCAAGGAAGAAGACATGAGAAAAGCTGCTTCTGTTGAATCTTCCGGTGTCAGCAAAAATGGTAATTCTAATACTTCATCCTCGGAGAAGATTCAAGCCATCGGTTCTGAAGGCAAAGCAAACTCGAAGGATAAAACGACTGAAACCTCTAATTCCCTGAAAAGGAGAAAGGTTCTGAAGACGCGGATTGATGAACGTGGGAGAGAAGGTACGCTTACACACTTTAGTGGATCTTTATATAATCAACTCTGCTGAATATATGCTCTGATGTTGAAGAACGTTGCCAGACTGATGTTTCTCACTCTAAAAACATTCATTTTTCGCTGCTTGCAGTGACTGAGGTAGTCTGGGAGGACGACGAGACAGAAGTAAAGAAAGGAAAAACGGATGCAGAGAAGAAAGAAGAAAGTAATACAACCAAGAAAATAAGCGGCGGTGAAGGTACAGACGCATCCAACAGGTAATATTATTCTTCACTCTTTGCGGATCAGAGATAGATGCCATTGGAGATTTCCTCTGCGTCGTTTCTATATGCCTGGGGAATGGAGGCAATAAGGCAGTCTCTAGACCCTTTTGTGAAACCCGAGATAGCAATCTCAAAGAATCGAGTTCCTTTGTTCAGGGCTGTTGCAGGGAAGAAGACCCCGACCACCACGGGAAACGCAGGGGCGAAACAGGGAAGCAAGAAAGGCGGGAGCGCGAAAGATCCGAAGCAAGGGAACATTCTATCATTCTTCAAGAGGGTTTGATGGTCCTTCTTGCAACCCCTTGGCCTCTTTTCTTGATTTGCCCCCTTTGTCTCTGTTGTGTTAGATGCTTCTTTCTTGCTTGGGTTTTGTGCTCTCAACGAGACAATGGTGTTTCCATTCACTTCACTTGAAAAAGAACAGATATTGTTCATTAGCTGAGATCAGTAAAGTTAGGATGTTCCAAGCAAATCAAGATTTTTAGGCATATAATTTTAATGTTTTCACAATCTTTTTAACTGGCTATTATAATCATTTTTAAAAAAATTAACTGGTTATAAATAATATGAACATATCTTCCAATTCATTGTTAAAGTATGACATGGCATGCAACAGATTTTTACCAATGGATGTCATACGATGTTTCGATTTTGACAATATTTTAATGGATGCCGTATGATATTTCAGTTTGGTCATTTCGATTTTGATGAGGGAATATGATAATCTATTTATACATGTTAATCAGTTTAAATTTTCAAACTTTGTTTTTTTTTTTTTATCTTAGTTATGAATTCATTATATTTTATGTATTTTTATTATACACAATAAAATTTATATAACAGTTTGATTAGTCACTAATTAGATGAAAGATCTTTATGAGATCTTTTTAATATTTTATTTAATCGTTTTCATGGTTAAGATCTACTAAACTGGGATAAACCTCAATGGATTTGGATTATATTTAAGATCTTGGATTCTAAAGCAAATTAATTAGAGAGACCAACATGGAATGCAATCCTCCAAAAGAATTGAATATTAAATTCCAAATAAATTTCTTTGAAAAAGAATAATGCTTTCTTTGAAAACAGAGGTATATTCTATTTTTACGTGTCGATACATGCATGCATCATATATACATACATATATATATATATACAGCCGAGAAGAATTGGATCCTCATTGTATCGCATTTTCTTCTCTCAAAAACATGAGCTTCAAGGGAAATTATCATTTCGTTATCCTCTTACTTTTTCTTCACGATTACAACGTATTTGCAGATAATAAGTATACTGATATTATTGTTGGAGAAAAAGGACAAGAAGAGACAAAATGCGATATTTTCCAAGGAAGTTGGGTTTTTGATAATGCGTCTCATCCTCTCTATGATTCGAAATCGTGTCCCTTCATCGGAAATGGCTTCGATTGTCAGAAAAATGGTCGGCCCGACAAGGACTATCAACACTACCGGTGGCAACCCTCCGGCTGCAATATTCCAAGGTACCGTTGTATATATATATATATATCTGTGCATATATATAGATGTGTATATATTTTCACCCTTTTTGTAACGAAATATACGGTGTTTTTAGTTTACCGATTCAAAGACATGTCCGAAATTTCAATGTATATGATTCTAAAAACTCGGGTTTCTAACCAACCCCTTTTTGCCATTTTTGTTTAGATTCTGATTTTCTAGGACACTTTTCAATATATGTGGTTAAAACGGTCTATGTATATACAGGATATGTAATAATATTGACCCATGTTATCAAAATTAACGGTCTTCTGTCTGTCATATATTTCATAAAATTTTGAGGCTAAAGATGCATGCATGTAGGGAA